TGCATTATAAGGATTCAGAGCTCAGCCTATGGCTGATCACCTTTCTACAGTTAGCTACAATGTCAAACATTTTGAATATAATTACCTAATACTAACCTAGCAAAAAAGAACTATGTTTGTGTAAAATACAAACAATAGAGCAGGGTCATGCATGTCTTGTGTTTGTAGGGTTATCAGAAAAGTGGCAATAAAGTGGCAATCGTTAAGGGAAGGAGCAAAAAACAGAAAAGAAAAACAACTGCGTAATTTATTCTGCCAAAAACACTATATACATAAAATACTGAAAATGGAGCAGGTCTGTAACTAGTATCAAAGTTTCTTTGGTTCAAAAACACACAGAATGATAGCAATGTGCTTTAAATTAAGTACGTATTTCAAAGGTTAACAGGACTATTCCTTAGGCAGAAGAACAAAGAGGAGCTGGTTAAAGGAAATTGGGTACACTACAGCTACTTAAAATACTGTATCCAGGCATAACTCGTTTGGATGCCTTTGAGCTCAGAGCTAATTTGAATTATACAGAGCTTTAAAGAATAAAAATACTAAACTGTGTTTTATCTAAGCTCTTTTAGCTGAACTGAGCTACTAATTAAAAATCTTCACTACTCTTCCTAATTTCTGATGTATTTTTTTAACAGAGTAAAAAGCCACCTAAAAGCTCTGTCCTTCCTCAGAGAAGAGTGTTAACATTTGCATCTCTGAACTGCCTTGCCATCTAATGGTTTTACTAATAGCATGTCTGTCATCTGCCTTGAATGTATCTCTTGTAGCCAAACTGAACATATTGTGCAGTAGGACTCCTGAATGCAATACTGATGCATATGTCAACGTTCCTCTCAGTGACAATACCACAGGAGCTTACAATCCAGGCAATGCTTAAATGTAACAGTATCTCTGAAATAATACATTAAACAGATGTGTACTTGGTATTATAAATATGTGACATAAAAATCCATTGGGTTGGTCAGCGTGCATACTAAAAACCATTCAAGTAGGTCAAATTGTGGAGAACTTAAAACTTTAAAGACAGCAATTTTAATAAAACTGTCAATACGATTTTCTTTGTAAAAACATTTGACACTGATTATGCTGCTTATATTGAAAGAGAAACACAAGGTCTATATCTTTAGATCTTTTATTGAACTGTGAGCACAGCATCAATAACTGCTTCTGAGCTGTAAATGAAAATTGATTCCAGATCTAACCCATCGTTTTCTGTGTGTCTTTAATCCCAAATCACCCACAATGAGACATAAGGATCAGCATTTTGTCTATGGGACAAAGCATGTGTCATACAGCCAGGTCCAAAGTGTCCATGCTGAAGACACTGTGGGTTGTGTTTACATGTGTTGGATGCAGGTGGTAAATGCAGGTCTCTCCGAGTGAGGCCCAAAAAGTGATAATGGCAGATTGCAACTGGGGGGGAGTGATTGTAACTTGCCTCATGTTCACAGCTCCTCATGCTCATGCTTACAATGATCACAGAGGTCCAAAGTTTTACAGATCTGAAGTCTGAAGGGACCTCAATGAACATCTCATTGGAATGCCAGGATGCCACAGCTCAAAGAAATTCACTTGACAACTTCCGCATCAAAGCCCACAACTGCAAGAAGACTAAATGGAAAAGAAAACTACAAGGTTTCCATGCAATTTGTGGCAGTTTGGCACTAGTAGATTGGATTTCCAATAAGCTCCCACCTGTTGAAGCCTCTTAAGCCCTCTAGGGTGAAATTAAAGTGTATGGCTTTCTTTAAGGAATCATCATGTTTGCCTTAACCAAAATAGACCTAACACACTAAGGAGGATTCTCTAAATCATGTTTATAACTTCTATGAGCAAATTCTATTTGAAACGTGAATACTAAAACTGAGCAGCACAATCAGTAACAGCCTAGCTAATACTATCTATAGAATAACAACCTTCCACTGACTTCAACTGGTAGTTCTTACCCTATCCAGAAATCCAGCTCAACTTTTTAGTTACATGACAAACTGGAGACAACATGTGCGTTGTGTTCCTCCTCAGCAGTGGGGAGAAAAGGAAGGAGATGTTTAACACCTGAAAGAGCATGAGGTCCATGGGCCCCTAAATAAATGCAATACAGCTCATAAATAAAGGTGGTCATTCATAGGTGTGAGGGAGGAAGACAGAAGAGCTTTGTTTCTTGCAGGCAAGTTTCTAACAATCTTCCACCATGACAAATGGACTACTGGTAGTCTCAGAAGACAGGCTGATAGATCAAACTCTCTCTCCACATACTATAGACCTTCACTAAAAGTTGAGATCAAGGTGCATTTATGGATCAGTGTCACTACTGCCCTGCCATGTAAAAAATTAAGGGTCCCCAGCAATTCTCAAAGGATAAATCCTAGGACTCCCTACTGACCACTGCTCTCAAAGAATTTAAATTTCCTTGCAATAAGAGTAGAAACAAAGGAAACAAACCTTTGTTTAGAAAATTACTTTTACATACTGTTTCTATTAATAAAAATCAGTAAATTTTAGCTCATGCTTCACACTGGCTACAAGCTGATAGCAGAAAAAGTCCTAAAGACTGTAAAGACAATGATTATTTCCTACAGAAATGGTGCACAAACTGTTAGAATGGTTTTGAGCTGAGAGTTTTTATCTTTTCTCTCCCTGCCAGAATGCACATGTGTACATCTGAATAACAATGGTCATTTGATTGCAAAATATTTATGTTAAAGAAAATATTTTTCCAACCTTGAGTTCCACAGCTGAACAGTCAGCATTCTAACTACCTTGATCTGCCCTTTATTAATGAATATTTCATATACCTTTTTTATAAATATCTTGCAGCTAAAACCCCTTGCAGTTACTTTGTTGATGTTCATGTGTCTGACCAGTGGGCCAGATCAACCTTTCTTCCAATTTTCAATCCCCTCTCCTTAAGGAGATATGGCAGAGAGCACTAACATGTAATGTGTGAGGGATGCAGCAGGGCCATTCTGCTCAGCAGTGCAGGGCCTTAGTCTGGGGTGCAGTGTGGGACAAAAATCTAAAGGATACACACAGGAATAGTCATTCATGCAGGAAACCTAAAAAGCTATGGGATGATCTCCTATAATGTGTATAATTTTGTATATACCCTATTTGTAATGCAAATAAAAGAGATACAAACATACATATGTGGGTACATAGGAGAGCTGAAGGCTCCCTTGAAGTGCAGGGCATTTAAGAAATGTTCTCAGTGTGCTTCTTGTCCAAACAGCTAATTTATTTTTTATTTGACTGGAAGCATTCATCTTTGGAATCCTCAAGGATACAGATCATAATCTGTTTTTTAAGAAGATATTTGGGAGAGTGTAGGAGATTTGAATCAATTCTAATCACTTAGAGTGAGATGAAGATCACACTGCCAAAAGGATACTGAGGGATCTGGTAAAAATGCTCACCAAGTCACTTTCCAACATTTACCAGCAGTCCTGGCTAAAGGGGAGGTCCCAGGTGACTGAAGGTTAGCAAACATGATACCCACCTATAAGAAGGGCCAGAAAGAGGATCCAAGGACCTACAGGTCTGTCAGCCTGACCTCGGTGCCAGGGAAGGTCATGGACCAGATTAGGACAACCCAGGGATCAGGCACAGCCAGAATGGGTTTATGAAAGGCATGTTCTGCTTGATCAACTTGATCTCCTTCTATGACAAAGTAACCCACTTAGTGGATGAGGGAAGGGCTGTGGATGTTGTCTACCTGGACTTTAGTAAAGCCTTTGACAGTTTCCCACAGCATTCTCCCAGAGAAACTATCTGTTCATGGCTTGCCTGGGTGCTCTGTTCAATGGGTAAAAACCTGGCTGGATGGCTGGCCCAGAGAGTGGTGGTGAATGGAGTTACATCCAGCTGGGGCTGGTCACCAGTGGTGTTCCCAAGAGCACAGTGTTGGGGCCACGATTTTGACCCTTTGGCTTTAGATGAGAATGCAAGTATAACTCAGGGTTAAAAAATACTGACTGGTATGACTAAAGGGTAAACTTTCAGCAGAAGGTAAATCTTTTCTGGATATGACTTTAAAGGATGGATTAGGTAGGTTGAAGGAGAACATTTAGATGGTTTAGAAATAAATAAGAAAGAAAATTTGACTTATAATTAACATTTTCTACACTGAACTGATGATCTTATACTGAGTTGCAGCATTACCTTCCCCTCTATTGCAGACGTTTAAACATTTGAGCCTATTGCATACATAAAGTAAAATGAAGGATGAATTTAACCCAAAGTTTCATTTTTTTTTCTGATAAGAATGTTGAGAATATGAATTTCACCAGCTTTCTTTCCCAGCATTATCCATAAATATTTATAAAGTGGGAAGGATAGAGAATGACATGAGCCAGTTTTCTGAAAATGATTCTTCATTAACATCCCAAGTAGGCTGAGAGTCTTTCAGTATTGACTTACAGCTACATGTGGAGGATTTTCCCTCTCACAAATGGGAATCACTAGATTACTGGCTGTGGACTCCAAACCCTTTACTCATTGACTGGAATAAAAACGTATGGGTCCAATCTTCTTGTGTGCAATTGTATAAATGAACTGCAAAGTGTAAACCAACTCTGCAGTGGTGTTGGTGGTCTGATGTGGTCATTTTACACCCACTTCCAAAAAGCTCACCAATTCAGAAATTGAGTGCAAAGCATGTGGAGGCTGTTCCATGGTTAGCTTGGTACAATGCAGATAGAAATTCAGAGCACACATTCCTGGGTGATGCCATGTGTGGTCTTTAATTCCAAGGTCATGTTTTGGTTTAGTTTAACCCACTTTACAAAGTTAATTCATTGAAACTGACAAAATGTATCCCTATCTGAGAGTAAGTTTCCTCCTATGAGAAGGAAGGAAGCAAGCAAGCTTTAAGCTAATGGATTCTGCAGCACCCCAAAATGCTTTTGATACAAATACTATAAATCAACACACAATCAGATGCAACCAATTAAATAACTGTCAGATTACAGGATCTATGCACTTACATCAGATGTATTTACCTGTTCATTGTCATCTTCATCACTGCTGAGTTTCAGATCATCCTCAAGCATTCTGAAAAAAATAGAGACAACGCAGAGTTACATTTAATGAATTAACTGTATATACAATGGGCCAAATCTATACATCAGCAAAGTCAGAGGGAAAACTCTCTTTCAAGTCAACAACCAAAATCAGACCTGTGGTAAGCAAACTGATGAATACTCGATGTATGTATGTATTAGTCCTTCTGTGTGATGCTAGGGAAGAACAAATGACTTTCAGACTCATGCATCATGAAGTTTGGCAGTCAGCTCTTCTTTCATGTCCTCTTTTATTTGCACATTGTCCCACAGTGATTAGTCCATACACATCCAGGTGTATTTCTAAGTTAGAATGGAAATTCAACTCTGAGACTGTTAAAAATGAGAAAACGTCATCCATGTTTCATTCTGAATCTAGAGCTCATTTTCTTTGAGGCTGGTGCCAACCCCCAACAAAACTGAGAAGGCAGAGTGGAGGACAGCAAGAAGCTTGTTTGAGGTTTGATGGGACCTCACAGTTGCTAGCATCCAAAGGCAGAGCAAACATTTTCCAAGCTAGGAATCTGCCAGTTCATATCCCCACTTTTTTATTTATCTTGTTAAGACAGGGAAATCTCACTGGACGGCTCCCTGCCCTTGGCTGAAGAAGAAGGAAACTCCTAAAAAATGTGGCTGTCCCTATGCTTCCTTCCTTTCCTTTGGCAGAAGAGTTTAATAATACATATTATTAATATATTTTAAACACTGATTAAACACAAATATATATTACCACTGATATTGATTCTTTTTTTTAATCCATGACTTGGGTATGGTAAAACACATGGGGTAAGAAAGCATATTATTTGCTGTTGCAGAGACAGGAAAGGTCTCTTCTTTTGAGGTCTGCCTAAAGAGACATGACTAGGATTCACCAAATAAACTCCTGTGTAGCTTCCCATATATTCATGCTCTTATCAGGTGGTCCTCCTCAGAGCTGATATTCCTTTGGGCATGCTTCTACCTCACATCCATCTTTTCACCATGACAAATTGTCTTATCACAGGATGATGTATGAATGAATCGGCACATCTCACCCAGATCCACTGCTACAGTCACTAACATTGTGGAGCTTCCTTTCTGCCAGCCTGAGCTCCTTCACCCACGGCAGGAGGCTTGCAAATTGCAATTATTGTTTCCTTTCTGCCTTGATGGGGACTGAAGTCTATGATTTTTTATTGTTAGCCTTTAAATAACTGTAGCAATCAATGGATGCTCTGTTAGGAAGTTTTTTTTGTTTGAAGACTACCAGTAAATCATGGAAGACTCCTGATATAAGGAATTTTAAAGAGGGGACAGTAATCCCAATGTGGAAATATCAGAATATTTGAAGCTGTGATGGTGCCCTTAAAAAGAGAAAGTGAAGGAGATCTTTAAACTGTTTTGTAAGTCATCTGTCTTTGGTGACCTCTGTTGTCGGGCAGCTCAGTGGTTACAAAGAATCTGGACACAAAACTACTAGTCATTAACATCCTGATAAATGTCTGATGCCTCCCTGTAATACAAGAACCCATAAAAAGTACAACTGTAGCATGGCTAAAAAAATCTTCAAAAAGTAGAGATTTATGGTGAGCTGACCTTGGCTGGATGCCAGGTGCCCACAAAAGCTGCTCTCTCTCTCCCCTCCTCATCTGGACAGGGGAGAGAAAATACAATGAAAGGCTTGTGGGTTGAGATAAGGACATGGAGAAATCACTTAGCAATTACTGTCATGGGCAAAACAGACTTGATTTGTGGAAATTATTTAGAAGTATTGCCAATCAAATCATAGTAGGACAACGAGAAATAAAACCAAATCATAAAACACCTTCCCCCAACCCTTCCCTTCTTCCTGGGCTCAACTCTCTGCCAATTTTCTCTACTTTCTTCCACCCGGTGGTGCAAGGGGAAGAGAAGTGGGGATTACAGTTAGTTCATCACATTATCTTTGCAGCTCCTTCCTCCACAGGGGAAGGACTCCTCACATTCCTCCCCTCCTCTCCCGCAAGAGACTGCCCTCCATGCACTTCTCCAAGGCAAATCCTTCCCACAGGTTACAGATCCTAGTGAACTGCTCCAGCATGTGTCCCTCCCAGTGAATGCAGTCCTTCAGGAACAGACTGCTCCAGCATGGGTACCCTGTGGGGTCACGAGTCCTGCCAACAAACGTGATCCAGCATGGACTCCTGTCTGCAGGGGGCCACAGTCCCTGCGAGTCTGCTTCAGTGCAGGCTTCTGTGGAGTCACAGCCTCCTTTGGACATCTCCCTGCTGCAGCACGGGGTCCTCCATGGGCTAAAGCTGGATCTCTGTTCCACTGTGGACCTCCAGTGGATGCAGGAACACAGCTGTCTCACCATGGGCTGTAAAGGAACCTCTGCTCTAGCACCTGGAGCACCTCTTCCCCTTCCTTCTGTACTGACCTGAGTGTCTGCATGCTGTTTCTCTCACATTTTCACTTCCAGCTGCTGTTGCACAGCAGTTTTTTCCCTTTTTAAAATCTATTATCCCAGAGGCACTACTACCATTGTTGATTGGCTGAGCATTGGCCAGTGGCAGGTCCATCTTGGAACCAACTGGCATTGGCTCTGCTGGACATGGGGGAAGCTTCTGACAGTTTCTCACAGAAGCCACCCCTGCAGTCCTCCTGCTATCAAAACCTTGCCATGCAAACCAAATACACAATTTTTCAGGAATTATTAATCTTTAGAGGCCTGGACTCTGGTGACGAACATAAACTTTTAATGCTGTTTATCTAGCAGACACATTCATTTGTTTCCCCAGAGCCATTACTTGCTGTGCCATTCTCAATGTATCGCTGTACCTCAATCTATCCACAGTCCCTGATTGTTATCTGCAAGTCTCATTACACCAGAAGGACAATACCCCCAGGAAACTGAGACCATATTCATACAGGACTATATCATTCTGACTCTTAGCTCTAATTTAATCCTATACTCCTACTTTTAAACCCACATCTCACTTTAATGTGCAAATTATCCACTGCTTTAAAGCAGCACTGCCAGATAATGCACTCTATTGTTATTTTTTAATGCAGATCTAAGAGGACATAATGCAAAGGATCTTTTCATGAATGAAAACCAAAGGGTGATGTGTTTTTTTTCTTTCAGCTATTGGGTGAGTCTTTTTTTTTCATTTCTTACATGTCAAATTCCTTTTTGACATACCCCAGTACAAATAAACCAAAAAGGACAAAAGAAATTCCATATTGGATAAATGGAAAGAACAAAGAAGAAAACATAAAAAAGATAAATGGACACACTTACTAAACTAACCCTACAGCCATCAGAAATGGCTGATTAATAACTGTCCTCATACAGCCTATACTGCAGACACTTTCTAACAAGTACAGTAAGTGCAAGACATGTTTATTGAATATTGAAAAATATAAAATTGATATAAAACATGATTAGTAGGAAGGATAACTGTTAGAGTTGGTTTCAGATAAACTAAATTTGCAGGATTTATGAGTTCCCTTCAAGAGACTAATGGATGTTTAGACGACTAGAGAGAGAGGAAAAAAATTGGATTTTGGTACTTCTTTAGCAGTTCCAAGCTTATCACTTGGAGTATATAATTCTTCTTAGCCTGTTCTGCTAAATGAAGAATATGTCATCCCATTCAGTTCCAAAACTCAAAGGTTAAACAACTAAACCACTCAGTTTCTAAAATGCATCACACTCTCCTGGCAGATGGAATAATTAAAGAGAAACTGAGTATGGTATCAACAATAAATATATGGTAGCCAGAGAACTGAGGGAATAAATTAAAAATACACAGTATGTGCAAATGAAAGTAGAATACTGAAGATTTCAAAGAACCTGCTCTCAGACATCCAATGGTTAGAAGAGAGAATATTTTAAAGAACACAGAGGACTAGATGGTCATCTACAATTTTAAAATGTGCTTAATATTCTGAAGACATGGGTCACAGTAGCTTGACAATACGGCTTGGGCAGGGGCACTCTCTGCTGGGTTCAGAACTGGCTGATGGCCCAGAGAGTGGTGGTGAACGGTGCCGCATCCAGCTGTTGGCCGGTCACGAGTGGTGTTCCCCAGGGGTCAGTGCTGGGCTCAGTTCTCTTTAATATCTTTATTGATGATTTGGATGAGGGGATTTAGTGCACCATCAGCAAGTTTGCAGATGACACAAAGTTGGGGGGAGTGTTGACCTGTTGGAAGGCAGGAGGGCTCTGCAGAGGGACCTGGATAGGCTGGAGAGATGGGCTGATTCCAACGGGATGGGGTTTAACGAGGCCAAGTGCTGGTCCTGCACTTTGGCCATAACAATCCCATGCAGTGCTCCAGGCTGGGGACAGAATGGCTGGAGAGCACCAGGCAGAAAGGGACCTGGGAGTTTGGAGAGATAGAAAGCTGAACAGGAGCCAGCAGTGTGCTCAGGTGGCCAAGAAGGCCAATGGCATCCTGGCCTGGATCAGGAACAGTGTGGTCAACAGGACCAGGGAGGTGATTCTGCCCCTGTATCTGGTGCTGGTGAGGCCACATTTTGAATCCTGTGTACAGTTCTGGGCCCCTCAGTTCAGGAAGGATATTGAGGTGCTGGAGCAGGTCCAGAGAAGAGGAATGAGGCTGGTGAAGGGACTCGAGCACAAGTGCTATGAGGAGAGGCTGAGGGAGCTGGGGTTGTTTAGCCTGGAGAAGAGGAGGCTCAGGGGAGACCTTATCACCCTCTACAACTACCTGAAAGGAGGCTGTAGTCAGGTGGGGGTTGGACTCTTCTCCCAGGCAACCAGCAGCAGGACAAGAGGGCACAGACTCAAGCTCTGCCAGGGGAGGTTTAGGTTGGATATTAGGAAGAGATTTTTTACAGAAAGAGTTATCAGGTAC